GGAGGAGCATATGGAGCTCCGTTCCGCTCTAAGAGCCGATCTTTTGCTAGCAGAGGGACCACGGTTTGCTCATTTTTCTCAGATGCGTTGCGGTTCTGTAAACCCGCACCATAGATGCGTTTGTATCATAGTGCCAAGTCTACTGCTTAGCATTGCTGCTGAAAACAGTGCGCATAGCTTGACGGATTTGATTTGTTTTGGTAGGCTGAGCCCGTAAACACAGGTTATCAGCCGTCGCCTCTAACACGCAATGGCTACTTCTGATGAGGTCCAATCCGTAACAGTGCGCCGCGCAAGGGCAACCTCGTGCCCGCTGATGTAGTCATGGTTCAGACAGACGGTGTGACAGTATAACAGCCTGCAACATATTCAATCTGGGAATGAAGAAGCTGTACGTCGTGAAGCGCAACAAAGACACCGAGAAGGTATAGAGCACTGTGACTGCGCGCATGAGATCGGTGACAAGCATATGGGTGGAACGTGGCTAGTTGAAAGCCAGGCGACAATCGCTCAAGCTGACAGTTTTCACCAACAGAAGATGACGGGGCAGAAAGGGGAAGCCGAGAAACTCCACAGCCAGATGACTAGGAAACAATACGATGACCTCCAGACTCAGCTTGAGGCACTGTTGAAGAAGCTTCATCAAAAGCGATGCTCATAAGACTGCGTTGGGAGGGAGGCCGATTTGCACGAGGCTTTAGCAAAATGTTGCGGGATTGCATTCAGGTAAAGAGTCGCAGAGGGTGGACGAGCTTGACCGCCAGCACTACAGGTGAATGCGCCTGCGGAACTCGTCAGCCCGATGCGAGTGAGTCGATCTTGGGCAAGCTATGGCGCCCCACTCAACACTGCGGCAAGCAAAGACAAGGAGAGGGAAGATTCCTCTCTGCCGGCGACGGCGCGACCAAGGGAGTTCACCGCATCGAAATCTGGCCCGCAAGAAAGATGACGAAAGCACGCCGCGCCAAGGAAGCTGACTTGATAGGAACCCCTGAGATGGCATGGTGCCCCAGCCCGTGAAACCTAATCGTCCGTGGAATAATTGGGTAAGGGAGTTGGTCCGGTCATCGTCCGGTAAGCCAAATGAAGGCTGCCAATGGATCTTGGAAGTTTGGGACCCATTGATCAGCCGCACGGCGCTTGAGGCGAAGCTCCATAACCCATGTGCAGGCAACTTCGCGACGCTCGACGCGATTCTCACCATTGCTCTCATAAAGTCAGCCTGCAGAGACCTTGGACTTAGGATTTTGAATCGCAAAGAGGAGCAAACCCAGTATGCGCTCCCAAGGACGATGTTGATATTGATATTGATATTGATCGAGCAAAAGAAGGCGAGTCATAGAAAGCCTACTCGCTCTTTGCGAAAGCAATCCGCATTTCGCATTTGATTGAGGCGGAAGGAGCTCAGCGGCTCAGTCTCAGAGGAACTTCAGGTCCCATCATCAACAAGAAGCAACCCAAACCAAACGTCAGGCACCGTGGCAGGCCTCCCAGCCGCCTCCCCAGGCGTCGCGCGAGCGCGCTTGACAAAAAGAAGAATACGAAGGGAGATCTCCCTGTAGGCAACGGACGCTACGGGGAGAGGGCCCAAAATCCGAAGAAGATGGCCAAAACCTCACGCGCCTATTTATGGCCGTTGTGGCGGCGATTGCCTATCTCCATGAGAAGAAAGGTGCAGCTGTGCCAAAGGAGACCGCAAGGCTAAACAAACCGGACTGAAAAGCCTCACCCCTGTAAGTGAGTGCTACAGGAAACTTTGCGAGGCTCACGCGCTCAGCGCGCCACCTATCCTTGCCTCGCGCGCTGCGTCAGGCCAATAGCGTTGGCTCATTGGCTCAGGAAGCGAGCAGGACCTGGTTAGCGAGCCGAGGTGGGACTGCGCAATCGGCGTTGCGCGGAATATTCATTTTCAGCCTCACGCAATCGAAGTTGCAGACATTGACCTTAAAACTTCACCAAAACCAATCACGCCGTGTGTGCTGGAGAAAGCTTCATCCGTATTACCTGTTGGTATTAGATGCGTCGCTCAATGATACCGTTTTGTTGCTGTGAGCTTGCCCTGTTTTCTGCGCAAAGTCGTTAAAAGCCGGCGTTTCCAAGCGAGTCAGGAACTGGAAGAAGGAGTCGATCCCGACTGACGCCGAATGACGAAGAAACAGTGGCCGTGAAAAGTCGCGACATGGCCAACCGACCTCATCATCGAAGCCCAATCGTTCATGCGCTTTCGAAAAGAGGACACTTCAGAGACCTCATAGAGGTGCAAAGGCAGTCAAGCGCGCGTCAAAACTGCACGCTTTGGACCATACCAACCCCGACTATTGACTGAAGCGAACGTCGAAGAGGGGTGAAAAGATGGCGCTTGTCATAAAGACCTACAGTCAGTTGCGATTTGTCGAGGACTGTTCTCAGGTGGTCAACCACTTTGTCAATCACCACGATGAAGTTGAAGTCATTTACGCTGATAACAATCAAGGATCTAGGTTGTAGACTGTAGACGTCAGACGCCCATCAAGTTTGTAGAACGCGAAGCCAGACAGATTTGAGGGAGCCACATGAGGAATGCCGCCCAACATCTTGCCATTAATGATGCAACGTTTCGGTGTACTGCCGTCAATGTCCGTCCCAGCTGGACAGAAGTTTCGCCAGTATCTCAATTCCACTCGGGGCTGTTTTGAAGCGCCAACTTCTCGCGAAGGGGAGGTTTGGGATATCGCATTCAGCCAGGCTTCGTGAATATTTTATCATGAAATTGATCGCGCAGTTGGAAGCGTTAGACTACCGCCTCCAGCGTGGCAGCGTCAAGGTTCAACGCGCCAGGCGATTGGGGCGGAGCTACTAGGAGTGACGTGTGTTCCCGCCCGAGGCAAAAGCCAGCAGCTTGGAACTAAAACCTGCTGGGAGGTGACGTATTGTCATGAGTTGATTCGTTAGCTTCACTGCTTTTGCCGCCGGTGTATGCTGGCTAAAGGAGGGAGTCTTGAAAAGACATCGTGCCAAACATGCCTTGGTACCACAATAGTGCCAACGCTACCGCTTACCATACATGCACCACTTACCACAGCGTTGCCGCTGAAAACAGTGCGCGTAGCTTATAACGGATTAGACTTGTTTTAGTAATAGTCGGCTGAGCCTGTACACGCACTCTGCGCAAGTGGACTGTTTTTGAACAATTGCAGGCTTGAAGGCCCAGAACATGTTTGTTGTTTGCGCATCCAGGCCTCCAAGCGATCCATATGGTGCGCCCTCATCTCAGGGGTGCTGTGTCCAGTTCAGGAGCCCTCCTTGATGCACGTCGTGAAGTTGCGGGGTAGCAGTGTTGCTGAGAAAAACAAGTCACCTTGGGCCAACGGCGCGTGTCTATGCCGACAAGACCCTCTGTACAAACGCAGCAAAGGCCTAGCTATCCTGGAGGAGCATATGGAGCTCCGTTCCGCTCTAAGAACCGATCTTTTGCCACAAGGTGGACCGCCGTTGCTAACATTTTTAATATTTTTGGCTGTTCTCCAGAAGCGTCCTTTGTTGAATGTTTGCAATGTTGAAAGCCCAGAACATGTTCTTCGTTTGTCCTTCCAGGCCTCCAAGCGATCCATATGGTGGGTCCAGGTGCACTCCTTGTTGCGCGTTAGGAAGTTGAGGTAGCAATGTTGCTGAGACAAGACAAATCATCTGGGGCCAACTTTTTGTTTGCCACATGTCTATTTGCCGCGCCACTGTTGAGTTTCAAACACCCAGACAGTGTTTTTCTTTGTCCGCCCAGGCCTCCAAGCGATCCATATGGTGCGTCCACTCCTTGATGCGTGTTGGGAAGTTGAGGTAGTAATGTAGCTGAAACTGAAACAAAACAAATCATGTTGGGTTAGCTTTTTGTTTGCCACGAGTCAATGTCCATATGCCACTCTTAAGATTGAAAGCGTAGAACATTTTCTTTCCTTGTTGGTCCTTCCAGGCCTCCAAGCGATCCATACGGTGCGTCCAGGTGCCCTGCTTAGTGCGTGTGACGATGTTGAGGAAGCAATGTTGCTGAGATAAGACAAATAATGCTGGGCAAGCTTTTGTTTGTCCCGTGTTTTTGTCCACACGCCATTCTTAAGCTTGGTCACATTACACACAAGAGTGTCCGACAAGAGTGTTCTGCAAGAGTGCCCCACAAGAGTACCGACAAGAGTGTCCTGCAAGAGTGCCCTACAAGAGTGTCCCACAAGAGCGTCCGACAAGAGTGTCCTACGAGAGTGTCCCACAAGAGTGACATACAAGAGTGTCGCCGAAGAGTGTTTCGCAAGAGTGTCCCACAAGAGTGAGTGTCATACAAGAGTGTCCCACAAGAGTGATAGTGTCCTACAAAATTAGCCCGCAAGAGTATCGCATAGAAGTGTCCTACAAGAGTGTTTCACAACAGTGTCCCGCAAGAATGTCCGACAAGGTGCCCAACAAGAGTGTCCAACAAGAGTGTCCCACAAGAGTGTTCCACGAAAGTGTCCTACAAGAGTGTCCACAAGAGTGTCCTACAAGACTGTCCCACGAGAGTGTCCTACAAGAGTGCCCAACAAGAGCGTCCTACAGGAGAGTGTCAAAAGTTGGTTGTGCGTTTGTTTTTGAGTACGTGTTTGCATTCGGGTTGGTGGGTTCCATCTTGTTTTCTTTATCCGCGGGGGTAGGTTCATAAGTACTTAAGCAAGTATGTAGGTATATAATAGTTAAAACGATTAAGTAGCTACAAAACTAACAAGCCTGGGGGAACTTAACTCCAATGAATGACCCTTGGAATCTTGGAATCCACTCGATCTCACTGACATTTCCGTGAACGTTCGAGGTACCTACCTTACTGATCCGAGGCAGGCATCCAAGCTGACCAGTTTCAGAATAGCTGACCAGTTCGGCTTGGAGTCGCAGTCTAGCAGCCTAGCATGTATATGTATATGTATACACACCATATCTAGCAAAGCCGATATGCTAGAAACCGCGAAGACAAACGTGTTAAACGAGTTACACTGAATGCAATGACAAGCAGATTGAGCAATGCAAGACGCAAGCCATGGGTGCAAGTCTGATTGGCGATTGCAGCGGAATGCAGCGGCAAAGAAAGGGAGGTGCAGAACAATCTGTCAGTTGTTCCCGTAACTTTTCTATTTGCACAGCATTCTCTTTGGTCCGAAGATGTAAAGGGCTCAAAATGCAGATGAAATGGAAGATCGATTCGAGTAAACCATTCATCGGCACAGAATCCCATGTTTTCTCTGATGCAACCCGTGGGCATCACTCAGTTGGTTGAATGTTTTCATGAAAAAAACACAGGCAATTCCATCCATTAAGGAGCACTTCGTATTTGCTGTTCAGCGTCAATCCCGCGTAAAAGACAGAACAGTAAGTTTGGCCTTTAGGCAAAGTTGTTGCTGAAGGGCTTTCGAGCTTTGCCCTTTGTGGGATGCCATGCTGAAGGTATTGGTTGTCGCGACTTTCGTGAGGGCATGGACATTCAATGCCAGCTACACCCAGTTTCATGGCACAGGATGTTCTGAAGGGGAACGCGAGTTCAAATGCCAAGAACAAGATGACTTGATTTGCTGTCAGCACTCTTCGCAGACAGTTGGTTGGCGCTGCCAAGGGGCATACCTTGACCGCGTGCTATTCAATTCTGGAGAAGACTGCAGTGGCCAAGCAATCGAGGAGGTTGTTGGTTACCTCAGCTTGACCGCAGATATAGCTCGGATAAGTGCTGGAGAGTGTGTTGACTATGGCACCACGATGTCGTTTCGTTTTACGAACGTACCAACCACAGCAGTGCCATGTGGTGTAATGGCAGCCGCCAAGCCCAGAGTGCTTTGCATGGGACTTCTTGTGCTAATGACAATGTGCCGGATACTGATGGCTTGAGTGACCTAGTGATTCCTTTGAGGGTCTTGATGTTCGTTGGTAGTGAGACACTTGCCTTGACACTTCTGTTGGCTTTGATCTTGAGTTGAAGAATAGTGATCGGGTGGGGAGGTAGTGTTGTGGCCACATGCTGAAGTGCTTGGCTGAAGATCAAAAGCCTTGTTACATTGTAGGTCGCATGCTCATCCAGATTGCTCAAGAGGTGCAAACCTGCAGATGAGCCGTAAATTTGCAACTCCCCAAGGGAGCTGTATGAAAAAGGAGGTCTATCTTTGCTCCCGTTCTGATGGAAAGGCAATAAATGAACTTGGATCTAGCAACTCTTGCTTCCATATTCTGCTGTCGGAATTTGGCTCCAGCACGGGCCCAGTGCTCCGCCATGGTTATGAAAAGGACTGAATAATTCAAAGTTCCATGCCACGAACATGCACTGAGGGCCGAAGATAAGTTCACCAATTCTCGCGAGGAAGCGAGCAGTTGCCAAGGCACGCATTGTACTGGTTTTACTAAGAAGGTTTGCTCTCAAAGATGAGTTTGCAGACATTCTGGGTGACGCATGCTGGTGACAGTAGGCAATCCGTCTAAGATGATCTACACAGAGGATTTATCATGATGTCCTACCCAATGAGATTGTTCCTGGTAGCGCACCTGTTGGTCACACTTCCCTGTTTGGATTTCGGGCTCAAGACGCTCGGGCTGCTCCTGACTTGCAGCGTAGCTTGGGAGCAAATTGGCTGGATATTCTTTTTTTGTAGTGTCTTTTTCCTTTTGACTTTCAGTGTTTGGATGATGCTTCTGATTCACCCTTCGAGACAGACAGAAAGGCCCATACCGCTGACTTACGATCGCTCCAACTATCATATCGCTCCGGTTGGTCTGCAACCTTCCCCGCATCTTGGCAACAGGGACGGCTTCACCTGCAACATGTCGCGTCAGATCAAACACTTTCAGAAAGCAACTTTGACAGGTGACATGTTTGAAGGTATTGATGCTGAGTGACTTAGCGTTTTGGTGAAGTTTAGTGAAGGGGTGAAGGTAAAATTAATCACCCGACTCACCCTGTGCGTCCCGTCCCATGCCGCCCTTCCCGTCCTTCATGACGCCTCTTCGTGACTGAGTGAGGCTCGCTGCGGACCACCAACTTTCCCCTGAAACGCTCGGAGCTGCGGCTCCAGGAGCGAAGTGTGTTCCAAGCAAAAAAAAGGAGAACATATATTAAAAAAACACGGATTGCTGTCTGCAAAAGGAATCAATGACGACTGTCGTGAGGACCTTCCATTTCATTCGGGAGACCCTTGGAGGACATTTAGAGTGACCTACATGATGATGAAGTTGCAGCATTGGTCTAAGGAAACCCCTCCCTCAGCGAAGCCATGGCCGACTTCATGGAACAGGCTGCGTTCTCGTCTTGTCCAAGCAAGCTGCTGGGTTGATCGCATGGCTTGGGAAGCATAGAGAAAAAATCCAAACATTCATTTATGTTGCTGTACCGCTGCGAAAGGCCAAGGGCAGATGAAAAGACATCCGAATTCAAAACAGTTTTGGATTGATAATATCCATCTATTGCTGAAGTCAACAAGTCAACACTATATTCATCACGCAGTGCCTCAAGCTAAGATGGACTTAGTTTGATCTCCACAAGGCAAAACATGCAGCAAATGTGATTACACGGAACAACATGTCTTGCATCGCTAAGCATTTTGAAGCAGCAAAACGGATTCAGCAGAAAAGGCCACTCCCTCTCTACTCTACACTGTAGGGTCTACAGTACTGCGCATTAGATGAAACGCCTCAACACCTTCGGCATCAAGTCTGTCAGGTACAGACTCTGCTGAAGAACTTGAGTGGAGAGGTCGGAGACGAGAGGATGTGGTGCCATGCCACATGCATTTTCTCGCTTTGACATGAAGTTGACTTCGGGTGTTGAATTCTTCCAACTCGTTCTTGCCTGCAGTTGTTTCTGGTTGGCGGAGCCTTCGTGCTCCAGTTTTTCCTTTTCGGCAACGTTGGAAGCTCAGCCTGGATGCGCTATCATGCCAGTCCTAGAGTCAAGCTGTTGGACAGCTGCAGTCCCGTGTAGAAGTGACATCAATGCTTACTTAGTGCACCTTGAGGTGCTTTGGCCCTGGCGAAAGAAGGCCAAGGGCAAGGCCCCGGTGCAATGCGGGGCAACCGTCTGTAAAAGCTACAGGAGTGACTGGAGCAGGGACATGTCGAGCGCGCGGATGCAGGCATCGAAAAAGCTCGATCCATCAACTCCAACCAGACAAGAGGTTGATCATATTCTTGAGGCAGAGTTCTTCGACATTTGCTTCATGTCACAGTTGTTTTCAATGTCAGCAGCTTTTCCAGAGATGTGAGGATGTTAAGTGAAAAGCACCAAGTGGCTTGTTGGAAGATGAATGGGCAGATTGCCAGGCCACAACCGCTGCCTTCGAACAAGGAGACCACCGTACAGTCCTTCGGAAGTGGGGCACCTTGCAGAGGGCTGGTGATGCACCTTGGACAAAGACACAGAATTGAACGTGCAAATCCTTCACCCTCCAACCCTGCGCATTTTGTCATGCATCGGCTCAATCCTTGAATGCTCTAGCGTTGTGCCGATGGAGTTAAGCTTTCACTGGGCGTGATCAAAACATACTAGTAGGACATAAATGAGATCCAACAGGGATCAACTAGGGAACATTGCTTCAAACACTTTAACACGTTGGACGACTTCGACTTTGATAGAGTCAGCGGTTTCTGTGTTTCTTTCAACCGGTCTTCTCCTGCGCGTGTTTGGTATCTTCTTGCTAATGCTAGTTTGGAGCTCTGTACGGACACCCACAACAACTTCATTGAATTAGACTTTGAACACAGGTGCCCTGTGTCCCCATGAAACTGTCCATGATCCTCGCGCTCACGACTTGCATGTTTGTTTTTCGTTTTGTCCACGCACAGGCTGAGAGTGTTCTGCATAAAAGGGGTCCTTTTCCATTTTTTTGGTACGAGTTTCCATCTATTTGTCAATTCTACTTGCATGGCAGAATCCTGGAGTAACATCAGGAAGAATTGCTATTTACTTGCAATGCATTTTCCCGAAAGCTGGACATCATGCAGAATCTTCATCAAAAAAGGGACGGAAAAATGACAAGCCAGGAAGCACACAGGAAAGCAACAGGGAAAATAGGAGAACATAGGACAGGAAGTAGATAAAACACAGGACAAGAAATGAGGATACCCACAGGAAATAAACAAGGACCCCGTTTCCCTATTTGTTTTCCTATTCACTACTATATTTCAACTATTTGCGTTGATTTTCCACAAACACTGGAAACCTTACAACATCTTCGAACAAATTAGGAAAGAAATACGGTAAACATTGGACAGAATGGGACACTAGGCAGAGCACATCGTGGAAAACGTTCTTGACAGGTCCAGCCAGTTGTTGTCCCAGTGTTCGTGATGTCTTGGTTGCCGACGGTATGCTTGGCCCAAGCCCCCCAGGACGTCCTTTTGCAACTTAGCACCGAAAAGGCGCTGGATGCTTCAAGGTTGAGGAAAAGTGCTTGACAGATTTGCGCCTTGTTGGTGGAAGTCCGATTTGCCTTTTGTTGTTCTTGGTTCGTTTTGACCCACCACACAGGTCGTGGTACAGCAGTTTGGCCCGCCTTGTGACCACGGACTTCGCTGCCTCAAGGCATTCTTGGACCGGTGTCACGTGGTGGTGACATGGTCGGTCTCTTTCAGGCCTGTGCTGGCATACGGCATATGGGGCAACCGGAGTTCCTGCAAGATGACCTCAGGTGGAGCGCAAGGAGCACATTGCTACATGGAATGTTGCAGCACTGTGGCTTGATTATGTGGAGCGTGTTGGATTGCAGCACGAGTGCACCGAGCCGAAGAAGCGTTGTTTGTTGAGGGCCGAGTTGGCCATAGCCGGTAAGCAAGCAAAGCGTAGGACGTCACCTTGGCTGAAGGAAGCCGCAAGAAGCTTGAGCAGTCGAATGGGGCCTCCTATTTGCTGTCCTTCTTCGAGGAGCGTTTGCGCAAAAGACCCAGTGCCAGATATGGATGAGCTTTCATGACCAGGTACTTCCATGAGAGAGTCGCGCAGGTGTTCGCGACGAGCAATGGGCTTTTGCCTGCGACTTCCAACACTCACGACAGTTTCACCAGAGCAGGTGTGCGCAGCCAGGGCGGAAGCTTTGGCCCCAACTTCCCAGCCCTCCAACGCAGGCAGAACTCTTGATCCCAATGCGCATTCAGCATGGTGGGTACACCGCAGTTCCTCAACAGGGTGAGCAGTGGTGGACCGATGCTGAGTGGAGAGACTGGCAACACAATCGCGAAGTCAAATGGTGTTGGGCTTGAGCGTGACCAACAACAACCTCGAGACCATGGCGTGAATATGAGAGACGATGGGAATAGTTGCACATGGCAAAAAACTTTGGCTTGCAATTTAAGTGGCAGTGTGTGGTTATTCCCGGGCAAACGTGGATGCAGGGCTGTTACCGTTTTCTGTACTGTTCGAGACAAGCAGGCGTGTTTTATCCTGGCAGCTGTGAACGCGTAGAACACCATCTCAGCGGTCCAAGAGACGGTGGGCCGAAACGCACTGTAAGTAACGGACTCAACGAAAGGCCATGTGCGGCGGTGCCCTTGTTGATCGCAATAAAACACCAGCAAAGGCAAATGAGTGATATCTTCTGGGGTCTAGCCGGGTCGCCCCAAGCAGCTGTAAAGAAAACATGTTGAAAGACTATGTTTGCCCTGCCACAATCGAACATGTTCACGTTTGATGACTTCAGCAACCAAGAGAGGCTGGCGTAAACAACGGTTTCAACGAAAAAACCCTGTGCGGTGGAAATTTTTTTGACTGTATTGTCAAAATTACCGGGAAAAGCGGGCACCAGCAAAGGAGTGCTATCTTCTGGGATCTAGCAATTGTACAGAAAACATGTTGAAAAACTTTTCCGTGTGCAAGATGGCTGGTTTTCGTCCCCTCTCTTCATTCGGATCGCGGCTAGCACTTAAAAACTACAAACCAAATTGAATTCCAATACCATCCAATACCAAATTCTTCAATTTTTGAGCTGCTCCCGCTTTCCCTCCAAGGTACCTGCGCAAACTTTGGTGCAGGCATGGCATGCCTGTCAGATACTGCAAAATGAGTTTTTTTTGCTCGTTTCGATGGTCCAGTCCCTTTTGTTTTTGTTGGAGCTGGAAATCAAGACCTTGCCTTGCAGGTGGTGGAGTCTATGCAAAGACTCAGGAAGGACCGAACCTTCATTCTCGCAGAGGTGAAGGGGCTGGTGTTGAAAAGTGCCACAGCTCGATCTGTAGACTACATGAATGCCCCTCGTAAGCACGTTGCATGTGGACTGATTGTCGCAGTGAATGTTTTTGCATATGTGTTTGAAAAACGGAAACTCAGCCGAAACTTTGCATATCTCCGTTGATGTAAGGACCTTTTGACACCTCTAACAAAATCACTTGATTCCGGGCTGATCTCCAGCTTGCAGAGAGCTGAGCTGAAACACGGAAGAACTTGCATTCAAGGAAATTTAGGTTCTGTTGACGTCAAAAACCATAATTTGGCAAAGTCCTTGTCCTTGTGAATATTTTCTAGGAACTTGTTGCATGTCATTCATTCTGAGGCTTGGTGTGTTCTCTAAAGTGGGCGTGGAACCCGATAGCAGGCGAGGAACTGGGGGCTGATTTGATCATGTTCAGCTGTTCAGCTTGCTGTGGCTTCAGGACCTACGACATCCTGATGCATTTGCACTTCGCAACGCGAAGCTTTGAGGAGGCACAGCTGTGCCAAGCAAGGTGGAATTCGTGTGTGCTTGGCTTCCACTACAGTACAGGTGAAAGACTTGGCGAAGCACATGCGCGAGGCTGGCTTAAAGCCAACACAGCGGGCCAAACTGGTGATGCTCAAGACCTACTTACAGGAGCGTACTTGAGAGTAGTCAAACCATAATGTAATGATGCCACAATCGCATCTCATCATTATATTTGTGAGTGTTGGTGTCAGTTGTGATAGAGTGCTGATATTTATTCGTTTGTCAAAGCCTTCTGGCTGGAGGAGGGCTGCCTCAGCAACTTGGACACATTCGTTCCGTATATTTTAATTCTTCTATTTTCCGATGATAGTTGCTTGATACCAAACATGAGCATCAATCGATCTGACCTTTCTCCATTTGTCTTCTTTCTCATCTCCCTTTCCTTTCTGTTCGTGTTTCCTCTGACGCCAACACTTTCCTCGTGCAGCGCTGAGGTGAGGCCTTGCAATGCTATGCGGAGCTGCCTGAGCTGCCGAAACACGTGGCCACACAGCTGGTGGAGATTGCCTGCCGTGACAGGTGTCCTGACACCAAAGGGCACAGATAGGAGTCAAGGTGTTCCCCAGAGGATTTGTGTAAAGTACCATATGAGGGAATATGTTTGGTGAAGTGCAGTTGAACAGTTGGACAGATTGATTCTAGTGAGTTTGGTTCTGGCTCCGAGGCGCTTGGATGAGGTGCTGCCCAAATTGGAATCTTTGCAAATTCCCATGACGGCTGTTTGCTTGCAAAGAAGCGTGCAAAGCGGCTATCATTTTTTTGATCTATAGTTTCAACAAGAAAGGTACAGGTTCAGGTTACTTTCTCCCACATTCTTTTCCTCTTGGGGGCAAAAAGGGAATTGACGGCTGTATATAATATATATATATATCTATCTATCCCGATGGGTTCACTTCGGACACTGGGACGTTTGTGAAAATCACAACGTTTTCCACGTTTTATGCCTTTTTTGGTTGTCGACGATGATTGTGGGGTGGGTCTCCAGATAACAATGAGACCCAATGTACCGATATATAACAACGTACGATATCGAATACAATGTTGTGATGTCGATGACAATGTTGTGATGACCATGACCATGTTGTGATAGCGATGACAATGCTGACGAACCCTCCAAGATACGTATGCCTTCTGCGTAATTCAACAAAGCCAGAAACAGTGCGCGACAGGGGCGCACCTCTACCGCGCATAAATGTCCTTGGCGACCACCACAACAGTGTGTAAATACCATGCGAATATATACAGCGGCCAAATGCATTGGGGTCTTAAACGAACCCGCCTGCATATATACATACATATATATATATATATGTTGATCTTCACCCAGATGCCTCAAGTCAAGTCTCATCATATTCAATGTGGGTTGATGTGGATTTCCGTGCTGCGAATGTGGAGCTGAGACTGACTCACTGAATCTGATGCTGAATGAATCTATCCGAAGTGGGCAACCCGAAGTCGCTAAGAAGGCGGGATGACATCAGGTTGAGAGCACACGACTAGACTCATCACGTCGTCCAGTTGTAGGGTTGAGAAATCAAGCGCCTCACAGTACAGCTCTTCCGGCATTTCAGATTCCATTTCTACTTTGCAGAGCTTGGAATTCCTCAGGATTCAAGGACCTTTCAAGTAGAGTGCAGGGCAAATGCATAGTTCTCCTCGTCGGTCCAGCAGTTCAATCATATATTGCACGCTTTGCCTTCCTGAGATTTGAATTGCAGGCGTTGGAGCTTGCACAACAGCAGCAGGTGGAAAAGAATAGCCGCCACTCGGAGAAATGCCTGTTTGGAGGGCCCTTGATCTCTTGAAACTTCACACCAATCTCTATTTTGCAGAAGCCTTTGATGGAGTGAACCGCATTGTTAAAGGCACCTACAGCTTGCTGGTGCGTTCCGAAAAAGATGCGAAAGAAGTCCGTCGCCTTCTAGAAGAGGTCAGTGCTGCAGGCGCTACCGGAGTTTCTACTGGGATTTGCTGGATTGGACAGCTTTGAGTCGAACCGAGGCCAGGTGGATGCCATGATGTCGCAAGCTGTCTTGGAAGTGTGCACCAAGACAGGTGATGTTCAGCTGGCTGTGTCTTAGCAGCACTTCCAGACAAATCAACCAAAGTACCGACAAAGGAAAAGAGAGAGGGAGAGAGACAAGTAGTACTAGGAGTCTCCTCCAAGTCTCTTTGGTCAGGAGAGCAATAGAGAAATCCAGGTTTCGTAAACTTCACGCTTGTGCCCAGGAACGACTTTCAGAGATGTTAAAACCCGAGGAGGGTAACCAGGTGGGACTAGTTGAGCGGAAGAGCTATTTTCACAAAAAGTATATCTTTCGTGTATTTCTGGTTGGCGCAAGTCACAACAATGAAGCATGAGTCTGTTCTTGCACTCAAGCTTTCCTGGGCCAACCTGGGCACATGTGCTTGATGGAGGCTCCCGCTTTTATGGCCTTGATGCGCTTCTACGTGGAGGCTGGCAGACCTGAGAAGGCCTTGGAGCTCTACGATACCCTGACAGAGAAGAAGGAGACATTGCAGACAGGAAGGGGAGAAGAGGGATAAACCATGATAAACCCTGGGCAGGCTAAAGCCCAGGAACCATTTTTGTACATTTACATAGCTCCTGAGTTGGAGATGACAAATTATAACTGACCGCTTCATTCTTCCGAAAGACTGCTTAAAGGCTTTCGTTGGTGCCCTTGCAAGGAAACCCTTGTTCACTCCAACAAAGTGTTTCAGCTTCAGACCTGCTATTGAGACGGTTCACGCAGGACAAGGATGGGAAACCGCATCTTTGCAGCAATAGTATGTCAAACCTTGAACAGGTCAAAGAAGCAAAAGGTCCAAGACAACAAGTAGATACACTCTTCAGTATTCCTCAGCATTCAGACAGGACTTCTGGATTCCTTGCAGTCTTGCGTTGCTTATCGAAAGGTCGCAAAGACCGCCCATTGATGGGCGAACCAAGCACTGTCTCCTCTCAGCTGCCAACACCCTCAATCGACAGGACACACATTTTGACTAAGTGCGTGTGATTGAGTGCGCATGATTTTTGAAGGACATTGCTGAAGAGCTGAGTGAAGATCCAACAAAAGGCCTTTTTGTGATTTTGCCAATGAGCAGAGATTGTGACACAGAGTCTTTCACTTTTTGTGAGAGTTGATGTTTGCATAAAATAATGCACAAAGACGTTTGCAAGGTAAGGCATAATCACACTCCTCTTCAAATATATGACTCTCAGGGATGTGTTCGAGTCAGTTGGGATCACCGGGGATATCACTGGCAGCTTTGCTGATACTTGTGCAGGTGTCGCCATGGTGCGTGGGTGGAGCATCTTGACAAGAACTGGTAGAGCTTGAAAGGACAAAGCATCTTAGGGAACCATTTCAAAGAGCCTGGGCGGCTGCCGGTTGCATGAAGAGAATGAACCACCGCTGCGCAAGGCAAGAACAATGATATTGATGGTGTCTTGAGCTTGTGCTTCGGCAAAAGATTGGGGAGTTTGCAGTTGGGTTGTTTTTGTCACAATCAATGCCATGCACATCGTGCCGAAACTTCTGCTCAAGATGTCTTGTTTCGTTCCTTCCTCTCTCTTTCTCGCTCGTTTCAGGTTGGATGGTCCTGGCAAGCTGCCCAGCACGGCTTGGAATATTGCCCTGGACACGTGTGTAGAAAATGGTGAGCTCGAGAAGGCTCGAGCTTTGTTGATTGTCTTTGTTTCACGAGAATGAGAGAGATCTGTATAACATTAAGAGTTCTTTGCACCCGAACGAGAGAGAGAGAGAGAGAGAGCAAAAGAACGCTGCGCAAAAGCGATACTTCCAGGCGAAGATGCTGGCAAAGCGAATGAAGGATGCAGGAGTCGCTTGGTGGCAGAAAGCACTTCGCTTAGCGTTCAAGCAAGTATCTCCCTGAAATGCTGCAAAGGCTGTTGATTGGTGGAACATGGTGGAACTAAGGTCATGGATGCTGTGTCCTATAACACATTGATCAAAGCCTATGTGCGGCACAATCTTTTCGACCAAGCCTGCGCCTTGTTGCTGACAATGCGCCCGCTTCTTAATTCGCCTTTAGAGAAGATGCATTTGATACAATGTTTTATCCTATCTGATGCATCTGGCCGAAACCATTCACGTAAAAATGGCCCTGTCAATCCCCAGGTCAGGATCCTACACACATGCCAAACACCGTGACCTACCATGAGCTCATCAGTGCACTCTTGAAAACCGGGAAGGAAAATCACAGGACAGGCATGCTTGTGAGTCCAACAGTGGGATGAAACAGAGCAACCTTCAAGAGCAAACGAGACACCTGGGTGAGGTTGGGTGCTGTAAATAGTCTCAAGGTTACATTTCAGGAATCATCCAAATCATCCCTACAAATAACGAGCTTTCCCGACAGGACAAGAGCCTGGGAACTTGTCAATGCAGCTTGGCGAGTCAAGTTTCAAGAGCAGACTCCTATTTATTTGCAATGCCTGGACAAGGATTTACAACACTCTCATTTTTGTGGTTTGAGGAGATGAAGGAAGACCAAGTGATGCCCAACAAGGCTTTGGTGTCCAACTTGCTGCGAAGCTTGAGGCCTCGCGTTTAATTTGTGTGAGCATCTCGCTTCCAAACCAAGCCCCTGAGGATAATGTTGCACACGTGCTCTACTAGGAGCAAAGACGCTACTAGGGGCTCCTGGCCTCACTACTAGGAACAAGGACGCTACTAGGGGCTTGTGGCATCGCTACTAGGAGCAAGGACGCTACCATACTTCTTTTGTTGCAGAGGCACTACAGAAGAGGGTTTGAGCTCTCGTATTTGCCAGGTCCAAGTCCCACAGTTCAGAGATCAATCGCGCCATGCAGCTGGTGGAAACCATCCAACACCAGGACGGGCTCTTGACTTGTTGCCTTGCGCAACTCTTGCAAAAGTAGGAGATGCCTATACAATTGGAAAATCAGATGTGCTGCAACAAGGGTAGGATTCCACGCAGTCAACCCTCGTCATTCAACCTTTGTTTAGGGATGCACGTGACAGAACATTGAGCAGTCTCAGATCGTGTGACTTTTGTCTCGAGTGCGATTCCCGGCACCGCAGTGTGATCTGACTACTCCGAACCTTTTTGCCCCAACCGAAGATGGGCTGTGGCTCCGCAAAGTTTCATGAGCCAATCTCCACTGGGAAGAGTGGAAACCCTTTGGACCTGGGAGAAATTGCAAAAGAGTTTCCAGTGCGAGCACCATGCTTGCCTGGTGACGTGCTGGTGAGTGGTGACCTCCCCGAGAAGATGGTGGGCCAATTGGCCGACCATTGCAAAGGGTGGCTCTATGTGAATCCTGAGTCTGATCCACACTTCATGCCAGAGACTATCAAGTCCAAGGGTTCCAAGGTAGAAGTCTTGCCCTTTAAGCCCTCCAAGGACCTGTCATCAAGTTTGGTAGACCAATTGGTGAAGACCATTGCAGAGATGCCCAGGCCTTTGATGATCCAATGTACTTCAGCCAATCGAGCAGCCGTCGCATTCTTGCCTTGGTTGGCCAAGGAGCGCGGTTACACATCCGGCTGTGCAGAGATGTTGATCAAAGATCTGAGCCTGGACACTGTTAGGCCGGAAGCGCAGCAATGGCTGACCAGTCGTCTGCCTGAAGTGGGCAGCGCCGGGCCATTGATTTCCCGGAGCCCGGAAGTTCGACAACTCTTCGATGAAGAGACCTCCACCTTCACCTACCTGGTGAGCTGTCCTGAGACCTTGGAGGCAGTGCTGATTGACCCGGTCTTGGAACAAAAGGATCGCGACCTTGAGGTTTGAAGAACTTTGGTTTGCGCCTGAAGTATGTCATCAACACACATTGCCACGCAGACCACATCACTTCTGGAGGGAAGATCCGTGAGCAAATGCCGGAGGTCCAGACAATCATCTCAGAAGCCTCAGGAGCAAAGGCTGATTTACACATCAGGCATGGAGACAAGATCAACTTTGGCAATCTTCGCTTGGAAGCCCGCGCCACTCCCGGGCACACTGATGGCTGTATGACCTTTCTGTTGCAGACCAAAACTGCAGGCTTTGCCTTCACCGGTGATACCCTCTTGATCCGTGGTTGTGGGAGGACGGACTTTCAGCAAGGCAATGCTCGGCTTCTCTACAAAAATGTCCATGAGCAAATCTTTACCTTGCCAGGTGACACTTTCGTTTGCCCAGGCCATGACTACAAGAGCCGCAATGTCTCCACAGTTGAGGAAGAGCGGCGATTCAATCCCCGCTTGACCAAACCTGTGGATGAGTTTGTCCATTTGATGGACAATCTCGGTCTGCCGTACCCTAAGAAGATTGACGTTGCTGTTCCAGGCAACATGGTTTGCGGAGTGCAGGATGGCGCATAGGAGCTCTCGGTTTTGCCAATCTAGTTTGATGATTTTGCTGACACTTCTGACGTCGTTTGGATAGTGCTAGCACGTTCAATTGTGACCTTCACTCTAGTGCAGTGAAAGGCTCAATGATCGCTTGAGGCCTTCAGGTTTTGAATCTCAATGATGATGAACTGGTTGGCTTTTCACATCTAGAATGGGCCCATGTCTCGTCAAAAAGGAGTGAGTCTCGCTGCCAGACTAAGGGTCGATCAGCTGCAATGTCAGACTACACGTGGCATAGAGAGAGAGAGAGAGAGAGAGTTGAATGATACATAAAGAGGTGTATACCAAAACTGTTTTCAGGTGGACGAAGGCTTGCTTTGCACTGTCCTAGAAGCTGGGGTCCGTGTGGGCAAGGCAGGGGGACGGGCAACATGGACCCTGTTGCACATCTTTTTCTTGAGCGGGAAGCGGATATATATTATCATTTTGTAGAACGGAAATTGTCACGAAGGAAGAGTGGCATGAAAGCAGATTTGGAGGTCCAGCTGGTGCAGAAGAAGTTGAAGTGCTTCCATGGCGAGGACGCAGAGTGCCCTGTAAAGATCACTGGTGCTCACAGCTTTGGATCGTTGATCAAGGCGGGAGCGGTTGCATACAAATTAAACCGTCTTGTGTTTTGTGAAACGACCGCGTGCTTTAGGAATATTTTTTTGAGCTTTGATCGAGGCATATGGTTTCGTCAAGGATGTAGCTGGTGCATGGAATTGCTGGCGAGAGATGTCCATGCAACACCTCAAGCTGCTTGGATTTCCAAATGATATTGACAGAATACATTGTGGTTAATTTATAGGTTCCAGGCTTTATGTCAGCTGGAGTGTCCTAAGTTGATGGGAATGCCACGTCGTTGTGACAGTGTTGTTGATTCTTTAGAGCCAGATTCGAGAAAGACAAAGTGCATCCTAGAAAATCTCTTAGGCACAAGGTGAAACAACGCATGAAACAATATATGTCAAGCTTGAGCAGCAGTCGTGCAGGGACACTCCAAAGCAAAAGACTCCCAAATTGAGATATGAAAGACACACTGAAAAGACTCTCCGCATCGACAAAGCTCCTAGCAACTTCTATTGGCGGTCTCAGGATGTCTCAGGAAGCTCGGATCTTCGAAACTTCTTCGTTTCGCCTGTGGTGGATCCTGAGGCCCACGAACATCACACTTGGGTGCATGGTTGAGGCGAAGTGGCTTGCAGAAAGGTAGAGTCAGGAAACAGTCATAAAGAATTTGCTTCCTGTATATACATGAATACCGTAGACAAGCAAGTCTGCCAACATCCATACCCACTAAAATGCGTTTGCTTGATGCATACATGTCGGTGCAAAGTGGCCTGAGGAGTCAAACGTGGATGAATAAAGGACCACAGATAGCATGAAGGTCTGTACAGTGAGTCGAAGGCGTTGCGTTTGGAGTGGCTCAGCAGGCTGTCGCCAGCAATGGAGATGTGGATGGTGCTCACGAACTCATCCAAAGGCTCCTTGAAGATAAGGAGACCAAGACCCAGGCTGCAGCTCATGCGCTGAAGTGTTGGTAGGATGGGGGCTGATGCGAGTATTCAGTATCCCTAAATGGTTTAAAGTTACATATGAAAGCCAGCCCTTAGGTGGAGGCAATTTTGGATGAGTTGATGATGCACATCCACTGTCGTGGCATCATTTGCATCAGCAAAGTGTTTGTGCAAGTCGTTTGCACAATGCTCCACAGTCCCTTCACAATATATACTATTATAGGACCGGATAACCCCACATGTTAGCAGAGAGAATGTCTGCGTAGGTGGTTGGTGACAATTGGTGGGTGGCAATTGGTTGGTGTGACAATTGATTGATGACAATTGGTTGAGGACAATTAAAAAAACACAACAGGCCATCAAAAATAACCCTTTCAGAAGGGCAGAGACCCACCAGCACCGGCCAGCACCGGCCAGTGGGGTTATCCGATAATTGGTGTGTTGTTGTTGTTGTTGTTGGCGGCCCATCTTGGGCCCATGTTGGCCTGCTTGGCCCTGTGTTGGGCCAGCTTGGGCCCATGTTGGCCCATCTCGGCCCTTTGTTGTGCCCTCGGGCCTATGTTGGGCCATCTTGGACCTATGTTGGCCCACCTTGGGGCTATGTTAACCCATCTTGGACCTATCTTGGGGGCCTCTGTTGGGTCATCTTGGGGTACATATTGCGCCATTTGTGTTGACACGGGCCCACCACCAAAAAAAATACGATTATGCACGTCCGCGCGGCGCGCGTTACCGACACCACGCTTGTAGAGCCCACAGTTTTTGCATTTCGCCATTGTCCAAATTTTGGATCTTCCACGCCCACGAAGCCCTGTAAAACACAGTGTTTCTGAACAGCACGCACGCAAATCACAGCGGCACAACGGCGGGAGACCCACCCAGCAGCTCCGGCCAGCACCGCGGCGTACATCCGACCCCTGGAGAAGACAATTGGCAAGCAAATCACTTGTTGATGACAAGGGGTTGGTGACAACTGGTGGATGGCAATGGGTTGATGACAATTGATGACAATTGGTTGGCGACAGTTAGTTGGTGGAAACTTGTTGTTAACAACTGGTTGTTGACAATTGGTTGGTGACAACTTGTTGGTGGCAACTTGTTGGTGACAACTTGTTGGTGAGAAGTAGTTGATGGCAACTGGTGGGTAGTAATTGGTTGGTGACAATTGTTGGTTGATGACAATCGGTTGATGACAAGTGGTTGGTGACAAGTGGGAGGTGAGTGAGTGAGTGAGTGAGTGAGTGAGTGAGTGAGTGCGTGAGTGAGTGAGTGAGTGAGTGAGTGGACACAACGTAATAACTATATCGTTATGCAGCCAGGGCGTGCATGCTGGTTTCTATTGGCTTTCGTTCTCCCATTCTCAGGCTTAAGCGAGTACTGCAGACGGTAGTATTATCAGGAATGAAGATGCAAAGAGATGAATATTGAGGAAGGTTCCCGGAGTTTGTATTGGCTTGAGCATGGGGACAATTGTGGGAGAAGATTCTATGACACCAAATAAAGCAATATTTGTTTAAACACTCGAAAGAGGAGTTTTTGAGCCAGTGCCAAAAGATTCAAGATTAACCAACACCCCTTTTCATGCGCAGGTTATATGAATGGGGAGTCGTTTAGCTCTAAGCAGTCAGAGGAGGAAATTAAGGTTTTGATAAACACTTTTTACTTCTGCTGTTTGCAGGGACCAAACCGATACCAGTACATTCTCCATTGAACATGCCCAAGATTGTTGCCCCAATTTTTGCCTATTAGACTTGTAATTTGTAATCGTAAATTGTACCGAGACTAATCTGTTGGTTGAGCAATCTTTTGGATGCCTTTGCACTTCACATGCTTTCAATTCGACACTTCGAGCAGTTGTTATTTGGGTCTTGAACGTGCACCTTTCAGATTTCTCGATACTCGCGTATCAGGGTGTTGATTCTCTTCTCCATTTTGTGACTGCGAAAGTGCAGGTGAATGCGGTAATCTACGGCTCCATCCTGAAAGGCTTTAGTCGCAAGAAGCGAATGGATCGTGTCTGGGATGCCTTCAATGAGATGAAGATCCACGGCATCTCGGCCTTTGTGGGATCCTTTAGGACATGACTGACTTCAGAGCGATCCAGCTTCAGACTGTCCATCAATGAATCGTTATGTTGTGTTTTCTTTTGCTAACCTAAACACTGTCCTCTCCAAGGCATCACTCCAACTCTCATGACTTTTAACGCCATCATGGACGGCTGTGTAAGAAATGAAGAGATGAGCAAGGCGGCGAGCTGGAAGATTTTCACACTTGGAATCAAATTTGCAACAATTGTATGACTTGCAATCAATGGAGCAAAAGGATTCATGTTTTTGCTCAGAATGCCTGGAGTATTCTTCGAGCTCGTTGTAGGTAACAGAACTTGTGCAAGAAATGCGGCAGTACGGTCTGGAGCCAAATCTAATCACACACAGCACCATGATCAAGGCCGGTTCTCAAAGTGAGGAATGGCGAGTGCAGTCTTTTTCTTCAAACTGGTCTGAGTTTGGATGCAGGGCTTCTGTGCAAGCGGCGACATGCAGTCCGCATTTGCCATCTTTGAGCAGCTTCAGAAGGGACCTGAAAGCCCTGATGAGGTCGTGTGCCTTTGGAGTAAGCGATGATGGGGGCGGGATTGGATCGGAGAGTTCAACCCCTTCATATCACTGAGCACAAACAACCTGTTTGAAGTGGGGCATTCAGGAAAGTCAGTACTGTAGTATTCCATGGTGACAAAATCTCATGTGGCCGTACTTCTCAGAGTCCATGCTCTCTTTAAACGGTTCTTTGACGTTTACTCATCACAATGCTATATCTTTAGTGGTGCATTTTGTGGAAATGTCACGTTTGTTTCTCATGGCCTGTCTGCGACGATTCGGCCGCTTAGCGTTGAGTTGTGCGTTGATGTATTTATGCCTTGTCTCCAGAAAGGTAGTGGCGGTATGTCTAAGGTACAACACTCTTTTGGATGGGTGCCTCAAGGCTGGCATGGCTGATGAAGGAGCCGGATGGGTTTCAGTGGATTTTTCAGTGGATGTCTAGTTCTTCCAGTCGTCTTCTTGTCATCAGCGTTTTGCCTGAGATTCCTCCTGAAGGAGAACAGCTCTTGGAGGCCATGATGGCACAAGGATTGCCGCCGAGCATCTACACCTTGAGCGTGGTGGTGAAGTGCCTTGTCTCGACTTTCTAGATCCTAAATTGAGCTCTCAGACATTGGTAACAAGAAGCTACTAGGGGCTCCTGGCATCGCTACTAGGAGGGGCTCCTGGCTGTACTACTAGGAGCAAGAAACTACTAGGGGCTCCTGGCGTGAAGTCAAGATTCGAGACACGAAAGACTGAGCTGCAACCCACAGGCTGCTGGCCAATGCCAAAAGATTGGACAAGGCATTCAGGTTTCTTGGAACAATACACAAGCAATTGAAGTTGTCCTTAGAAGATGTCCCTTCCATATTCATTTTGCATAAAGAACACGCACCAGCGGACCACTCGTCTAGACTATTTGGTTGCTTGTGAGAATCACTTGCGACAAGAAGGGCAGACAGACCTCATATTTAGGCCACATATATAATTCTTTGAACGTTCCTGCATACAGCATCTTCATTTGATCGCATCATTATTCAAACATGTCAAACCCTCAAGGGTCTTCACTGTTGAAGAATGGGAGCTAACTCCATGCTGGAGTAGGTTCTGTTAAGCAATTGTTTGCTGTTGCACATTGCACATTTGCGATGTTTGGAGTGTAAACTATGCAGCTCCTCATACAAATCCTTGCTCTTAAGTTGCGCTCTCAGGTTGGCGGAGACAGCGTCTGCGCGTTTCCGGTTTCGCTTGGGGGCACAGCTGCAAACAGCTCTTCTGCAGGCCGACTACTCACACAAGAATTCCCGGCAATCCAGAGGAAAGACAAGTCGCTTGATGTTCATGGGCTCCAACCTACTAGAGATAATCTCCAAGCTAGGAGATTGAGTTGTTGGAAGCAAATCCAGAAACTACAAGTATCACACAAAGCAGAGGCTTTGCGCGCGCAGGCCTGCATCTCTTGCCGAGCGTTTGAGCGTGGTGCCCGGTTCTACTTGAAAACACACAAGGACTTGCCAGTGCAGCTGCGGTTGAACTTCAAGCGCCATAGAACGAGAGTATAGAGTTGGTTTGGTACCCTGGAGCAGACAAAGATTTGTTGCGTGGCTCCAGGACCGATTGTCTGCGGACAAAAAGTGACTTGGCAAAGATCAAACTAGTTGACGTGTCTCGGGAAGATGTCTTCTGAGTATCCTGGCTGGTGTCAGGGATGTCAAAGCCTTCAAGTGATGCAACCATGAACAAAACAATCATGTTGAAGACAAACAGGCTACAGTTGGAAAGTTGGTTCGTCATGTGTTCTGTCAAGAGAACATTCTCTAGGTTGGAGGCCATTGCTAGTAGGTTGGAGGCCATCGGTTGGAGGCCATTGAGGCCATTGCTATTCATTCTCTTAGCCGAGTCGCCAGGGCCTGGTTCAAATCCTTCTACTTCCCGAGGATTTGCCAGACGATTCTCCGTGGCCTCCTGAGCTCCGGCAAGGCGTCAACGTTTCCAAAGCCTTGAGGGAAAGAGAAGGTTGCAAACCCCAAAAGGATAGTTCACAAACGTTGTGTTCGGCTTTAAAATGTTTCTTCTGTGCAAACATTGCAAATACTTGTATTATTTGTATTTGTTGGGGTTGTTGTCGTTGGTGGTACAGGGATCAATGGAAATACCATCTCAATGTTAGGCCTTTGGGTTTTCACAATTCCGCTTCCGGTTGTCTTTCGCTTTGAACTTCTTGCACGATATGCGGAGGCAGAGCTGGCGGGTGAAGTCTTGAGATCTTTGTTGGGCCTCAACAGCACTTCTGAGGAGAGGAAAGAGTTGAACCCCAAAAATTGCAACAAGACAAGAGAAGTCATTGTCCAATGAGGAGAAGCACTGTCTGCTTAGGCAACCAGGTGAAAGGCAAGAAGAGTGGAATAGGGTACCAAACAGTGCGAGTATGCTTTCAGAGTCTGTCAAAAAGGATTGGACATGTTTGGACCAACAGCAAACTTATATACTAGATATCTAGAGACCTTCAAAGCGAGACAATTTGCGGAATTGGCCGTCCGTCGCGTCCATTGCGCATGCTCGCCAGGAAGTCATCCAGCACCGAGCAACGCAGGAAATTGATGAGGCACTCTCAACCACTGAGCGTTATATAATATTGTTGATACCCTTCTGCGGACATGACCGAAAACACACGTTCCCAAACCAAATGCACAAAACAGATCCGCTGTTCTTTTTCAACGCTTCTCTGGTTGGGGCTCCTCCTTCAAGGGAGGTCTGATAGGCCATCTGGCCCTCACAACAAAAAGGGCTGCGTGATGCAGAACCTTCAAACTCCATGGAAGTGAATGAACACTCCCCCTGTCTTCTTGTGAAGACACCTCAAAAGCGAAACCTCCGGCTACCTCACGGGTACTCCCGGATGTACCGTTCTTCCCGCACGTGAGGGTAGCCTGCGGCTTCAGTGCCCTTTCCAGGCTCAAGCCCTATTCCATTGTAGGTGGTTGATGATCCACCAGTGCTTTCCTTTTTCCTCAAAACTTCACCAGCTCAGCTATCCCGGGGTGTGGCAGGCATCATCTGCACTGTACCCAACACAATGCAGCCAACAAACATAGTTTTCCATGCCCAACCATTCATTTCCAGGTTTTCCAGCTAGGCCAGTTATGAGCCGTAGGCTTCAAAGCCACTTTCTTTCGCCAAGGCCAAAATGGCCATAGGGACCAACAGCTCTGCTAGGGTCCCTCCTTGGAACATCATCATCACAAGTTCAAGCCCCGCCTTCGGAGCTCTTGGGAGCAAAGTGTACACTGGTCGTACTTCTTCTCGCTGCCGGTGGAGCAAGGCAATGGCGACGGGGCGTTCCGGTGGTAGATCTCACCCCATCCTCTACACCAGATAGGTTCGCCCCTTCTAAGCCTGCTCTGCTCACTGCAGTAGGCACACCTGTGACACGGTGGAGAGCTCCTCAAGATCGAAGTTTGAAGCGACTGGCAGGACTCAAATAGGTGGTACCTTTGGCCGAACTTGGTGATGAAGACTCCAACAGTGTCTCGGCCCTTGCTTTCCCCTTTTCCACCTTCTGATCCTCCTTCGCTCTTTCCTCGTCCTGAGCCCGCCTGCTGAAACCTTCTTGGGGCCGCTTTCGGCGCTGCTGTTGGAGGGTCATCACTTGGTTCCCAGCTTTCATCCAGCCTGATGTCACGATAGTCCCTTTCGGTGGGATGATGAAGGGTTGCTTCTTCTTCCACCTCCATCGCTTCAGGGCCACCAGGTTCAGCCTCTGCTGGGACCTCCTGTTCAGGCTCCTCTTGAATCCCAGCTAGATTGGGATCTGTGTTGGACGAGGTGGCCATCGATGCCGGTCCTGAAGATCCAGAACCCATCAAAACCTGTTCCAATCCAGCCATGACCCTTTCTTCAGGGCTCAACGAAGACATCCATCTGATGAGCCATTCGCGATTTTGGATGCCGAACTGACTCCTTTCTTCTTGGGTCTTTGGTCGAGAAGCCTCATAGGCCCAGTCGATCTCCTCCTGCTCACCCTTTCCTTGACCTTTTCCTTTTCTTTTTCCTTTTGACCTTGCACTTGGTCTGTTGACTTCTCTTCCTTGCCAATCGACGGTGATTGAGCTTCCTTGAGAGGGCTCTGAACTTGTGCTGCCTGGTGGACCTCTCACAGGAGGATCTTCTGGAATCCCGGCTGCGTTTTTGAGCTTCCGTAATCTTTTCTGCCGTAGGTTCTTCCGGATAGGGCAGAGCATCCTTTGTCATCGGCGCCTTCACACTTCGGCCTTCTGGGATACCCTCCTTGTCCAGGATGTAGTCTTCTTGGGAGGCTCGAAATCCGCCTTGTGGGGCCTGGGTCAGCTCCACGCCGAGGAATTTGACCTTCTTTTGACCAACCACTTCAGGTTCGGACGTCTCCCATTCATCTTGAAGCATTTTGATGATCAGGCTTGTAGTGGTTGGATCGCTGGCCACCATCAAATCGTCGACGTACACCAGCAAAAATCCGACCAGCCACTCATCACGGTCATCATCAATTCCTTGGCCCTTCATGATGCTCCACAAATTTGGTTCCGCATCGGCCTGGACAAATCGATGGCCTTCTTTTGACTTCATCTTTCGAAGGACACTATCACGATGTAGTCCCCAACACCGAGGCGACTGTCGCAGGCCGTACATGGCTTTCTGCGCCAAATAGAATTCCTTGACTCCCACGTGGCCAGTCTTAATGAGCAGCAAGGGAGGTTTGAGCACCACAACTGTTGGGTCTTGACCATCATCTTCTACATCAAGGGGCGCATTCAAAAATGCAGTGCGGATGTCGAGGACCGTGGCTCCCCAGCTCTTTTCAGCTGCTTGCTTCAGCACATAGCGCAAGCAAACGGCATCAGCGCCTGAAGCATAGAGACATTGATCCTTTTGGTCTGGTGTGGATTGATCCACAAAGTTTCCACAGGCAACCAACCTGATCTTTCGTCGTGGTCCAGGCTTGAGGGTGACCACAACTTTGGATGGAAGGATTTCCAAGTGACGACCCCATTTTTTGCGAAGGTGCTCAACTTCATCCTCCGAGATGCGCTTCAGTGCCTGCTTTTCTTCGAAGAGCTGATGCAGTTCTTTCTTTATGGCCTCGTCCCACTTTGGTGCTTCGCTGAGCAACTCCTTGGGGGATACGATCCTTGTTCGAAGCACCGACTCTTCTTCTTTAGGCATGGCACTTTTGACCTTTTTGAGCTCTTCGTAGACGACGTCCATCACCTTGACTTCATCCTTCAACATGATCACGCTTTCCTCCAGGACCACATTTGAGAGACGTTCGAGGTCCCTTTTTCTTTCCTCTTCCATCTCCTCATACTCATCCTTTTTCAGACTTTTTGCCGTGACCCCGATCTCCTGGGCTCGAGCCCTCCAGCGAAGCCACCTTCGAAGGCTGACCACCGTCTCGTGGAGGTTGCTCGGCTCATTTGGCTCTTCAAGGTTCCTCAACAACATTTGTTTTTCACTCACACCTCCAGGGCAGTAGGACAAGTGGAGGTGCGCCAAGATTGCAAACACCGACAGGCGTTTTGTTGCGACCAGTTCATCACGCTGGCCTTCAGGAATCGCTTTGAGCAGCAAGGTGGCCATCCTCCTTTCCAACTTCGCCCACTTCGGGACATTCAAAGAAGCTGGGGCGACGGGCTCATGCTGAACACGATCTAGTGGTGGCATGGCTTGATGATCTTGATACCATCTTTCCACTTCCACCATCATCTTTTCCCACCACAAATCCGATGTAGCAGTGAGGTCAGCTACAACTGGTTGGACGAGTAGAAGCCAATCTCCAAGCTGGAGCTGTGAGGTGCTGCCTTGGATGCTCCCCAAAGCCGGGAGCTCTGCAACTTGTCTCACCACTTCAACACCTTTGATGGTGCCTTGACTTTCATGCCCTTCAGAAATCTGACGTTGAAGGGCCTTCATGCTTTCGACGAGCAATGCCATGACCTCCATTTGCTGGATCTCTGGCGAAGGTTTGGCTCCCCCCATTGTAGGCCTTTGGGCAGTCGATTTTGGATCCTCCTTGAACCCCTTTCCATACGAAGGACTTCTTCCTTTTCGAGGTGGGTCTTTGGATTGAGATCTCGACCCCTTTCCATACCTAGCTGGGTAGGTAGACCACGGAGTGCGTCCCCTGCTCCCCAACATGTCCAGGACGCTGGGAGCTTCGGGCTTTGCTTCTTCAGGAGTGTTGAACGTCGATGAACTTCGGGGCACATGACCTTCCTCTTTCTTCTTTTTCTTTTTCTTATCTTCCTCTTGTCTTTTCCTTTCTGCGTCCTCCAACCTCCATTCATAGAGCTCTTGTTGAAGGCGATCATTTTCACGTTGTTGATCCTGACACAGGCTTGTCAGCTTCTTCATATCTCGTGAGATCTGCCATCGCCACATGATCTCTTCTTCTTTTTCTTCTTGAAGGCGGCTTCGACGGCGGCCTTGATCTTCTTCAGAATCCTCATCTTCACATCGCCTGAGCTCTTCACTTTCATCCTCCTCATAGCCTCCTGGGGCCCTTTTCTTTCCTCCAAACTTTTCCTCCTCTTCTTGAAGGAATGCAGGTCGTTGAAGGAGCTCCCCTTGCTCTTCAGAGGATGATGGAGGCGGTGCCTTTCCAAACACCTGAGGTGCAAGACGGGCGGCAGCTCTTGACTCTTTCAACTGCTCCTTCGTGAACAGCGGTGCCATTTGCTGCTGCAAAGGAACCAGGGGTGCCAAAGTCATCGGCCGACCTTTTGGATGCTCAGTCGAACCTTTTGCACTGGGCTTGGACCCACCACTACGAAACACTTCCATCTCCGTAGTGGGCCCTGTTGCGGAACCCGGTGGTCCTGTCGTAGACCTTGTGGGTGTCATCAAACCCTTTTCATCTTTTTCCACCCCTTCTCTTTCCTTCACCTTTCCAGCCTCCTCTGCAGAGGCTCTTGCAGCATCCTCCTCTGGTGGAGGGAGAGCCAGCGAAGGGCCATGCTCCACCGTTCGGCGCCGGCGAAGCATGCACGAGCTCGAGGGTGGTGCAGAAGTAGCTTGCTTTGGGCTCATAACCTGTTGATACCCTTCTGCGGACATGACCGAAAACACACGTTCCCAAACCAAATGCACAAAACAGATCCGCTGTTCTTTTTCAACGCTTCTCTGGTTGGGGCTCCTCCTTCAAGGGAGGTCTGATAGGCCATCTGGCCCTCACAACAAAAAGGGCTGCGTGATGCAGAACCTTCAAACTCCATGGAAGTGAATGAACAAATATATGTTATTTTGTCTGGACAACTAATTAGCCTGGTGAGCTGCGTTCTCTTTCATCCAGAGGCTTTGGTGGCTGAAGTGCTCAACGCTTTGTTGGAAAAGGGCAGCACCTGCCGACATGCCCTCCAGCTCTACGACAATTTGAAGGCCAGGTTCTGCTCTGAGTGACAATTGCATTAGCATTAGCAGTCGACACATGCAATCAATGCAAAACACGAAATGCATCACCAGATGTCAATAACCAACAGGGATGCCAGCACGTCACTTTGGAGAAGTGCTCTGTAAGTCAGGCAGTGAAGCCTCAATTCCAAGTTGATGCTGATCTCAAAAGGAAGATCAACGAAGCAACAAAAGGCATGACTTGTGAGACAGATTGCTTTTGACATGAGTTATAGGTCAAAAAGAAGCTGCACAGAAACTAGTGTTTGGAACAGAGTTGTTTTCCAATTTGCTGTCCTAGCCCAGGCCATGGAAAAGGCCGCTAATTTGTCAACGTGTGAAGTCTGCAAGGGCAGAACCTTCATCGTTTCTCGTCAGCAACTTTGTTTCAAGTTTTCTTGGGTTTCTCTCGTTTTACAACTGTGGCCCATAGAACAAGTGAACAGCAGCAGATCAGTGCAGCTGAGGTCGAAGACACTAGCGCCTGAAATACCCGCACCCACTTGTTGCCTGAAATTGATGTTGAAAGCCCTTTGTCAGCCAACTAGGGACGAAACAGCATCATTCTTTTTGACTCAACAGTGTTGGACGATGAACCTCAGGCAACATTCTGTGCAGGCAAGGTCATCGTCAGGGTATTTAAGTGGCTAGCACCCGCACTGAAGTGCAGCTGAAAAAAATGCCACTTGTGCGCAGCTGCCGTGTGAGGTCCGCATCTGTAGTTCAATCTCTTTTTCTTTTTTCTTCTTCCTCGATTTTTTTTTCCTTTTCTTCTCTGATTCTTAGACTCTTCTTGTTTTCTGAACTTCTTCTTCGGGAGGCTTCTTGGCCCAGGCCCTTGCTGTTGCTTTGTGATGTCTTCTTCAGGCAAAGAGTTCTTCTGCGACCAAAGCGTGCCTCAGTAGATTCAGCAGACGAGAGCCCATGTTAAACCTTTTGAACAGGAACGGTATGAGGCGATATGGAATGATCCTTTTTGTTGGTACTGAAAGCTGAGGCGCCGCGCCAAAGACGATGCATTGGCAGATGCACAGGGCGACCTGGCCTCTGATGATGAAGTCTCCGAGGTGCACACCTGTCTTTGTCGAGTTGTATCGGACTTATCGATGCTTTGCAGGTTAAAGAGTAGATTACACAAAAGAAGAGAGGAACACATGAAGGTAAGACCTCCTTTCAATAAGGGCAAAAGAGGCCTTATTGAAAGGGGGCCGTAAATGATTTTTGAGTATGCTTTTAAAGGATACTCTGTACAATTTTTGCGTGTTAGGGACTCCAAGTGATTCGGTGGCTGAACAGGCGCACGCCCCAGAGGAGGCGCGCTCAGCACTGTGCATTTGAGTGGTGTCATGTCACCGTCCTGTGAAGAGACACCCGAAGCGTTCTGGATACGATAAGACTTTGTTTCCGCAGCTTTCCATTTGCTTTGAGCAGGAAGATGACTTCTTTGAGACCGCAGATCAGAAGCGGGTCAGACTTGCAAAGGCTGCTTGGATGGGAACACAGCAATTCATGCGCTAAGCAACAAGATGCAGTCAACATAGTGACATAGTGTGCTTGTTCAATGCGGGCATATTGTTATGCCAGGGCCATTTGACAAGAATTACTATATACAGAAGGCGTGAACTGTATCGTTTGGTTATTCATGTCTCTCAGGAATATCTCAGCAACATGGGAGATGGTCGGACCTCAGAGCAGATTCAGGAGATTTGTGCCTCAAGAACTTGAAGGCACACTATTATATACATATATCCGCCGACCCCGGCCTATAGCCAAAGCCTAGGCGGGGAGGCGCCTGGGACACCGCAGGGTGAAGCAGTTGGCCAAGCCTAGCAGAACCCTTCAAGCACTTCCAAAGGCGCAGGATGCAGCAGTTGGCCAAGCCTAGCAGAACCCTTCCAAGCACTTCCAAAGGCCTGTCCGAGGCCTCAACAGCTGGCTGGCCTGTTGCGGCCTCTCTGTGGCCTGTCCGAAGCCTGCCTCCTCTCTTCTTGTGGGCCTCTCTGTGGCCTGTCCGAAGCCTGCCTCCTCTCTTCTTATG